AATATTAAGAACAATGTGAAGAATATCACTTCGTCGACTAGCCAACAGAGGTCTATAGTTACTCATGCCATTTCTCGCAAGTGCTTGATTACATGTGTAATTGTTTATATAGAACTTCTTTCTAACATCTTTCCAGGCGTCTAAGGTAGGCTCCCACTACATTACCTTACTGATGAGTCCAGTAGTGGAAGCCGGGACGAAACGCCAACTCGTGATATTCTTCACAATCTCAGCTTCTCTGAGTTTAAATTATTAATTTAATATTAAATTTTAATATATGTCTTTCAACATATTATTAAGATCTAATATGATGCTATAGGCATCAAAAATTGGTTAAATTGATTCTCAATTTAACTAAGTGATATTACTGTGATAGTGAATATGCGTCAAGGCTGAAAATCTATCAGCGTCGCGGGGGGGGGGACTACATACACAGTATATAAAATTCATATAATAAAATAAACATTAACATCCAGTTTTCAAGACTCGAATGGCTTTACACTTTCTGTTGATTTTATAACTTACGTATCTCGTATCTCAGACATGTTATTCCCCATGCACTGCTCGCCTTGTTGATACTTTCAACAATGGAAACATTTAGTCCTTCTCTTTCCCTGAATACTTTATCTAAAGATATTTTTCCTAACTCAGATCTCATGGTAGTTTGGGCTACCTGAATTACAGCAAACTCAGCATCCTCAACGCCATAGGATGCTAGATAAGGGTCAGTTACCCTTAAATACAAAACCGCATCGATACTTAAAGTCACATTATCTGAAATCAATCACAAAATATTTTATTACGAATACTGTGTTATATAAATATTATGAATGTATGTGTATAATATTCTTAAAGTTGTATCAGACAGCATACCTACCTGATGTAACTGCACTTTGTTGTGGTACATCTATCGCTAATTCCTTCAAAACTTGCACGTACTTAACTCTGTCAATGACAGGAAGCAAAATGTTCAAACCTGGATCTAAAATTTTATGAAACTTCCCCATTCGTTCTACGATCCATGCCTAAGTAAAACGCTTTCCTTTAGACTAGTGATTGTCAAACTAATTTTACACGTAGTTTTACTTCAAATAATTTAACAAATTGTAAATCGAACAAAAGGTAATTTGATTGATCAGAAGCATGTATAAATAAAATGTACGGTAATTGAATATATGTTACAAATATGCTGTCTGTTAAACAATGACAAACCTGTTGTTGAGGAACAAACATTATGACGGTATTTATCGGATTTAACGGTTTATATCGTGAATTTTGTGTCACTGAGCTGAACATTTTATTTCCTACACTCGCAAACACGTGCTCCTGCAACGTGAAATATTTCGTGAAACTTATAAGAATTTAAAATTCTCTCGGAGTCAAGGCTGTGAGATATATTTCACCTTAACAAATCCCAAGTTCTTCGCCAATATCATGGCACTACCAGACACCGTACGTTTATACATCTTTTTATTATACTAATTCTAAGAATATATACGAAGAATATAGTATAAATTGACAGATTTAAAACGTTTTTCGTAGGTTATATGACAAGAATAACGCAATACTAGGAAAATAACCCGGCATCGCCCAACATAGAGTATGACAAAATAGAAGAAGGAAAACTCCAGATATCTTGTCAATCATGTAACTTTTCCCCTAACTTTGCAAACTGAGCATTCGTGAGCAAAGGACGAGCAAACGAATGCATGAAGAAAAAAATCGATTTTTTAATATTAGGGGGCTAGTGTGAAGTTGGCCCCCCAAAACATAATTTTCGTATATCTTTTGAACTAAGGGTGAGCAAACGAAAATTCCAACTAACAATAAGCATTCGTGAGCAAACGACGAGCAAACGAATGCATGAAGAAAAAAAATCGATTTTTTAATATTGGGGGGCCAGCTTCACACGGGTCACGGAAACGCTTGCCGCTCGGCAAAATGTGACACGGTAGCCAATGAACATGTTAGGAGCTGTAAGCTATTGGCTACCGCGTCACATTTTGCCGCGCGGCAAGCGTTTCCGCGTCCAGTGTGCTGGAGCCATTAAGAGAATCCCGCAACTGGAGTATGATGTAAGAAATTAGTCACGTTTAACAGATTCAACTGTATGGTGCGGATCCGTGACTTAAGTTTCCATCGAGGGTTAGATTAGGTGCATCCAGAAGCATGACCGCTTACTAAGCGCTCAATGAGCTTTTTTATCTGATTGGCATATTCCATTAGGTCTAAAAATATAAACCAAACAGGTATACAAGAGCTCACTGAGCGCTCAATGAGCGGTCGTGCTTCTGGATGCACCCATTGGGTCAGAGTTCAAGAACCGACCACAGTCGAGCATTCCTCTCTCATTCGACTGTAAGATAGAAATGCTCGACTGTGGTTGGTCAATTCTTGAACTCTGACCCAATTCTAACCGTCAGTGGAAACTTAGGTCGGTATTCATAGTCGGTTCTTATTTAAAGACTGTCTTAAGTAATGTTTTAAGATGCTAAAGCGGCTCTCTGGCCGGTATTCATAGTCAGTTCTTATATTCAAGACCGTCTTAAGTTCAGTCTTGAGGAGTTACGAACCAATCAGAGGTCGGTATTCATAGTCAGTTCTTATATTCAAGATTGTCTTAAGTTCAGTCTTGAGGAGTTACGAACCAATCAGAGGACCGCTTTAGCATCTTTTTTTTAAGACATACTTAAGACAGTCTTGAAATAAGAACTGACTATGAATACCGGCCTTAGTCCGTGAGACCGTGAGCGCTTACTGCTATTGGATAATCTAAAAGAATACAATAAATAAAAGAATAAAAATTATAATTTTTCAGCAATATATAACATATATAACATTGAAAGTATACATATTCATTTATACAGCATTTGTATAATAAAAAAATCATGAATTTAATAATGTATTGGATCTGGCCAATCGCATCTGCGTTGATAAATATGATTGGTCAATTCCAATGGACCAATCATTGACTAAAATTAATCGGAGTTGATAAAAATTATCCTTACTGTAAAGCCCAAGACACAATGCGTGGGAATAGCGATAGCGATAAGTTTCAACCTATCAAAAATGTGTATTCCGGTGTGTTCGATTTCTGATAAGTTGAAATTTATCGCTATCGCTATTCCCTCGCATTGTGTCTTGGGCTTAATAGGTCCGATCGCGTTGCTAAAAACTCACAAATTTTTTAACTGAAAATGAGATAGCTATATATCTATGCATCGAAGAGAGAGAGAGAGAGAGAAAGCGAATAGGAGTGCAAAGAGTGCAAGCAACGCGAACGGACATATTTGTTTCTACTGATTTATCGA